CTCTTCAAGCTCCTCCTCGGTTCCTGAGAACTCGGAATCGGAACTAGAAGAGTCAGTTGCATCAGGCTGAGTCGGGAGGCGTCCTCGAGCAGTTAACTCTAGTACTCGGGCCTTGGCGATTTCATCGTCAATATTAATGATGCCCACTTTGGTCTTTTCCAAGTTCTTTATCCTCATATGATACATAGAGTGTGTTTTTTTAATGATGAGGGAATCCCCTCGATGCTAATGTTCTGATTTAAGCCGATCAACCTAGGTCAAAAGGCCATCCCGCCGGATCTCATGGTGCTAAGGCTAAGATCAAAATAACGGATAGGGGTTATATGACCTTATTATGTTCCATGATCCTCTTATACCTGTCCTCCATCTGGGTACGCTTCTCTTCGGCAGCAACAACCTCTTCAGCCTTGGAATTCAAGGCTGTCTCTAAGTTATTCACTAGCTCAATGGAGGCAGTCTCGCGCTCGGCAGCAGCAAGCACAACATCTTAAACTTCAGACCATTTAGCCTTAGCTTCTTGGAATTGACATTTAATTGAGAAGCTTCTTGACTAAAGGCCGCTACCTCTTGCTCGCTAAGCTGAGACTGGTCCTCGAGATCACTTGCTTTAGCGGCCTTCGCTTCTAATACCGGAAGGCGCGCGACAAGTTGGTCCCTCTCGACCAATAGTTGATCTCGCTCGGACTTAAACCATTATTTACCGAGGATCAATTTATGAAGGCCCACGGAAGCAAAGAAGTTGGCCAGCGAAGCAAATACCCAAATTAGAAACCTTGTCATAGCAAGTCAAGAAGAAATAAGCAGTAAAGAGAACAAGTACAATACCACTGTTGCATTATGCATGTCATTATTTATAATACACTCCCCCGAAAGAGAGTGTATTTTCTTCTTATCTTTCTCTGAAGCTAGCGGCTTTAGATAATTGGCAAGTTCTACTGGTCGGAACATCAGATGGCACTCCGTGGATATGGATAGGGAGATACTCATCCTTCTCTGGGGATCTGCAGAAGGGTCGAGTAGTTGTACCCCTAATTCCTATTGTCAAAGGATTAGGGAGGAGGTAAGACCTTCTCTCAGATGTCTGCGGCCGATGGGGGAGATGTAGCAGTTGCTGGTGATGAAGGTATGGCCGACATGGAAGGAGATGAAGCTGATGGTGTTGTAGGTTGAGAAGCAGCTGCGGCAGAGGCAGAGACAATGCTAATTGTGGGTTACACACCAACCGAAGGCAGAAGAGGCTCGGTACTCAGCCTCATAGTATCGGGGGCAACGACTTGGACCGAGAAAGGAGAATTAGCATTCTCCACTAAGTCAAATTCTCTAGAGTGCTCGAGCATCATCCTCGGTTGGGGTTATAAGCTCTTCAGACTGAGAATGTTGTTGAGCCGATGAAGATCGTTGTCTCCTTTGAAGGGAAGTCTCTCATCAATGGCTTCTCCATAATCATCAATAACCACAGTGGATGTGGCTGGCTCGGGCACGACTTTCTTCACTTTCTTATTTTTACCCTAGGCCGAAGAAGAACGCCGTATTTTTTGGTTGCTTGTTCTCTGACTAGGGACTGCGAGAAGAAATACTTGTACATGAAGGAGACCAGAGGGAACCTGTTCGGGTGAGAGCCTCCTGCAACAACCTTGTAACCTCTACAAGATCGACCAAAACATCTTTCTCAGCGATGGAGACAGAACCTAGAGGTAGACCTGAATCAAACAAAAAGGTAGGTTTAACCAGTTTTATTATGTACAAAGACGAAATAAAGGCAGAGTCAATTTTACTAGATAGTTTACCATGGTTCTTGGCCCTCCATCCATATGTGAGGGCCAATTCCTTCCACCAACGGGTTTCAGGCGTAGTGATATCTAGAATCTTCTGAACACACCGATCCAGGCCTTCAGCCCATGGAGGTGTCCACCGAGTTGCTGAAATAATGAATGAAGAAAAGTTAACAATGACATGAAATAGCCTATATCTTCGAAGAAAAAGATAAGCTGTAAACTTACGTGGACGAGTCTAGGATTCGGGGAAAGATGGAGTTGCAGTCGGGATGATGTCCTGGTGGCAATGACGACAAATCGCTCCATCCATCCACGATCGTTGTTGTCATCCATGCTGGTGAGCAAAGCATGGTGGCCGTGTTTGCTGAAATTTATTACTCCCCCAAGGAAAACATTGGGGGAGTAGAGGTTCATTATATGAGCCAAGGCGAGGTCCTCCTTCGTTTTCTGGCACAGCCGCCGTAGACAGGCCACCGTTCGCTACATCGAAGGGTTCACCTGTGCCAAACAGACCTGGTACCGGTGGCACAACTTCAAAATCACGGGGTCGAGTCCCCCGCTCAAAGAAAATGCACCCAAAGTGAAGGGATACGTGTAAACATATGTGAAGCCCTTCTTAGCGAAGGTTACTCGCTCTACCAGATCGGGAACAATAATGTTTAGGTCGTGACAATCACAGTCCTCCTTCACAGCAGGAATGTTGGAAGGGTGAATAGAAGAAAGATATTTACCAATATCCCAAGTACGAGAGTTTAAAGTGGGGAACTTCTCTTCGAAGTCCTTGGCCGTGTTTAGATGTTTGGGGATGGTGGTGTTCACCATATGAGGGTCAGCATCAACATAGACCTCTTTGTCTTTGCTCTTCTTTGGACCCCCACAAAAGAGAAGATCAGAGTTCTTGGAAGAATTAATAAAAGAAGCTATAATCAGCAGAAGGTGATAAGAGTTTTTTGAAGAAGATTAAAGAAAGATGAAAGCAGAAAAGAGTTGAACGCAAAGAAGTTGAGAGAGTTTATGAAACTGTTAAGTGTAAAAGAAGAAGAACGAGGCGTATAAGTAAAGGAATAAGCGACTAAAATCGTGGCCATGATTACCTCGAGAACTGGCGAAAATATTGCTAAATCGTAGAGTAACACGTGTTTGGAATATTAAATGCGAGGAGACATGCGTCTTATCAAGTGTCAGAAACTTTTCAGAAGGGTTCAGAAAATTTTCCGCCAAGAAAGAAATCGTCACCAACTTTCCGGTGACACAAAGATGTGCCACCGGAAAGCAGGGGACTATCTCTATTAGGTAAAATCAGTTTATATTTAATGTTCGTATGATAGCGTGACACGTAGAGCCGGAAGCAAATGGAAAATAAAGCGAGTAGAAACCAAGTCCGAGGACAACAACTTCAGTTGGCACCGGAAAGATCCCGAAGGGAACAGAGTCAACAGAAGCAAATGAATGTTTGTTACCAGATGACATTTAATGAAGAATAATCCTCAGTATTAAATAATACAACTGTTGCAAAGAATTTTGGCATTCATGGCATGTCATTACATATTCATCAATGACTCCTATTATTTTCATTTAAGAGAGGTTTGATCCTAGGACCTTGTTCCATAGGTATAGCTATAAATAGTGACTTCACAACCATTGTTACACATAAAAATTCTAAAAAACTTATGTTATACACTATTCCCAAGCTAAATAATACTTTATTTTCTGTCTAACGTTATTCTTATTGCTGCCTTCGGAAGCCTTGCTCCCGGAACCAAACTATCTGCTATTTATCTCGATTTCAACACTAAGTCTTGCATTTTATTTAATTCATTTATCATTTTAGGATCAAATCGATTCGCTTGTCTATAAACCACACTATAAATTCAACTGTACTACTTTACGGGTAAACAATCTTCTTCTTCGAATTTCAATTCAAACCACCTCAAAACTTTACGAAATCATCCCAAAACTGAGATTTAAACTCATTAAAATGTATCCAAATTATTCCAACAATACCCACTCAGAAGAGAGCAAATTTTTGACTTTTTCTGGCTACAAATAGCTACTTGGCTAGCTAATATTAGTAATATTTTATGGATCAACTAATTTTTGTACCGACTTACATATGGAGCAACATAACTGATAATTTCCCTTTAAATAATACAACTCAAGAAGTACCCATCTGAATTCAGGTTACCAAGAAACGTTAAAGAATAATTAAAAGATGATTTATGGTGATAATGAAAAAAAATGCTTTTTCAAGTTCGCGATGTACTTATTAATCTAATCGATTCTCTGGTGCTAATATTTCTTCATAAAGTTTCCTCCACCAGTATGCCGGTGCAAAGAAAATTATTGTACTAACCTTAATACCTTATAAATTTAGTTCGTCTAATAGGAATAGGGTCGAGCTCTTTTAATTGTCTGATGATATGTACTTATCACTTATTAAAGGTCACCTAGATCAATTTTCTGTATTAAACCAGACTAAATTTATTTTTATTTTTAAAAATCAAAATTTTCATATTCTGAAACTATATAAAAATAATTATGTAATAATTTTCCTCTTATTAAAATGACAAAAATTACATATAGAAAAATATTACTCCGCTTCCTATGTACAATTTAAGTGTCAAATTTCTTTTTTAGTCTGTCCCAAAAAGAATGCCATGCTTCTTTATTTAGAAATTATTTAACTTTAAAATTCTCACTTTACTCTTAATGAGATGATTTATAGGCTTATAGCTACACGAATTTTACGGCTTGTTTTAGACGACAAGTTTCAAAAGTCTTCATTTCTTTGTTAAAACTCCATATCTAGTCAAACACCGTCATATGAATTAGGACGGTGTGAGTAGTCAATGTTTTCTTCTTCATTTTTCAATAAAATAATTGAGTCTTGAGATTCGAATTAAACATTTCAGATAGAGGGAGTTTTTTTATACAAAAATGTTTTTTTTCCTTCAAAATTTCAAGAACCAAATCCCTTTCTATATTTGCTACCCCAAATTGCGCTCCATTTTAAGCCTCAGTTATTGAATCATTTCCCCAGGAAAAGATAGAAAATCAGGATAGGAGGATATGACTTGGAGATATACTTCAAATCTTCTCGAGCCTTTTGATTGGTTAATCAACAAAACCCAAAGTATCTCCAACCACAATTTCCATCTGTGCAATTCTAGCCACCCACGTAGGATTCTCACTCACTATACAAATATAAGAACCAGTTTCCCCTTTCAAACCATCCAGATTTCTCCAACAGTATATTTTTATTAATTAACTGTGAATTTCAAGACTAGATTAAGAGAAAATGGCATCAATGGCAGCAACAGCAAGCTCCACCACAGTTGTTAGAGCAACCCCATTTTTGGGCCAAACCAAGAATGCTAACCCTCTTAGAGATGTTGTTCCCATGGGCTCTGCCAAATTCACCATGGTATATTATCTCATCCCTGCCCATTGCCCCCTTCCCTTGTTTTAATTTTTATTAGAGTTTAACTTCTATATGCTATCGATGCAAAATATAGTTACATTGTCATGTTATTTATACAGTAATTACATGTAAATGTAAATTTCTATGTTGAACATTGTAAGAAGAAACCTAGTTAAAATGGTAACTAATATGCTATTACATGATAAAATTCATGCTACATATTATATCTAATTCTATATAGTATGACTTAAGTTCTTTTTATTTGGAGAGAAACCACCTAGTTCAAATATTGCAGTTCTATGTGAGGTCTAATGATGACAAGTAGAATACTTACAAAATGTGGAGAAAGAAAATATGCCTCTTTTTCTATTATCCAGAGAGAAATGTGACCTAAGATTAGATGAGAAAACTTAGATATACATATCCCTGGGTTGTAAAACATACCTAAGGATAGATAATAATACAAGAGAATCTACATCCAAAAAGGAGCAAGATAAAAGCACCTAGATTTTTCTCTTAACGTTATTGCACACAAAGCTATCTTGGATTCTGTTTGAGTACACTGAAAGAATGTCTTCTTGTTCTTTTTGTTTTGATATTCTTAGGGTAATGACTTATGGTATGGACCCGACCGTGTCAAGTACTTGGGACCCTTTTCAGCTCAAACTCCTTCGTACTTGACTGGTGAATTCCCTGGTGATTACGGATGGGACACTGCTGGTTTATCCGCTGATCCTGAGGCTTTTGCCAAGAACAGAGCTCTTGAGGTATATTACTAGTATTATTTCCTTTTCAACGTTGTAGCTAGTGGCAAATTCAAATGCGTGTTCGCAAATTTCGTAGAACTGTGATTTTTGTGATCGACCAAAGATTTATATATATATATATATATATGCGTGTGTGAAAGTAAGTATAGACAAAGTTAGATATATATTTCAGAACCTACTCTGCAAATCGGAACCTAGTATTGAGTACACCTTCAACGAGGTGGCGGATCCGCCACTACTTCCTTGGAAAATATTACTAAATATACATTTAAACAATATGCAAAAAAGATAAATTATGATGTCATAACAATGATTTATTTATCTGTTCACTATTAATGTCGACACCACTTGCAAAAATTCTTCTTAGGTCATTGTCAAAACCGTAGTGTTTAAATTCTAAATTCACCACTGGCCATAGTCCATTTTTTCAGTTTTTGCTGATTAAAATTGAAAAATGCAGGTTATCCATGGTAGATGGGCAATGCTTGGAGCACTAGGTTGCATCACCCCAGAAGTTCTTGAAAAATGGGTGAAAGTGGACTTCAAAGAACCAGTATGGTTCAAAGCAGGAGCTCAAATCTTCAGCGAAGGGGGACTTGACTACTTAGGCAACCCTAACCTTGTGCATGCTCAGAGTATTCTAGCTGTGCTAGGTTTTCAAGTTGTGCTCATGGGACTTGTTGAAGGTTTTAGAATTAATGGACTTCCTGGAGTCGGAGAAGGCAACAACTTATACCCTGGTGGTCAATATTTTGACCCACTTGGCCTAGCTGATGACCCGACAACTTTTGCCGAGCTCAAGGTGAAGGAGATCAAGAACGGAAGATTGGCTATGTTCTCCATGTTCGGATTCTTTGTTCAAGCTATTGTCACCGGAAAAGGCCCTCTTGAGAACCTATTGGATCACCTTGACAACCCTGTTGCTAACAATGCTTGGGTTTATGCTACAAAGTTTGTTCCTGGAGCTTAAGATGATTATGTCTTATGTTTCAATTCTAGTGTTTTGTGTAACTGTATCTTCAGAAAATGCAAATATGTTGTAGATGAAATTATTTTTAGTTTAATTGTTATACATTAATGGTCGAATAGTTTTTCACACTATCAGCTTATTTAAAAGTTAAATTACATGTTATAATTGATTATGTTAAATTAATAGTGTAAAAGCAGAAAACTACGGAGCCCTGAAATTTCCTCAAAATTTCTAGAAGATAGTAAAATCTTGTAAACTATCCCTCTTCTTTTAACAAATGCCTCCTTTTTTAGTAAGGATGTCAGCCACAGAAATGACTGAGACATTCCCCATCATAGAGAAAGTAGGACAAGTTGCCTAGGCATCTCCCACCTTTACCCCATTTTGGGGATAACTTACTCCAACCATTCCCCCAAATTTTTTTTTTATATTCTTCTCTCTCTTCTATATTATATTATTATCTTTCATTTCAATTTTATTTTTTAATTTGCATTAAACAAATTCCATCTTTTATTTTCATTAATTTGAGATGATTATATATTTTTTGTACAATTATAACTTATAATAAAATTAACTTATAATTTCACATAAAAATAATAAATGCACGAAAATTAATTTATCAAAATTATACGCCAAAATTAAGATGTAAAATTAATATTATAAAGATATTACATAAATATAATTAGGTATATATAAAGAAATAAATTAAAAGATTAAATAATAATAAAAAATACATGAATAGTAATGGGGGAGATGAATAGTGCACCCCCATATTTGAGGTAACACTATTCATCCTCCATTTGGGGACAAAAATAGGGAGGGTTGGAGCTTCGTTACCCCAAAAATTGCCCCCATTATGGGGAAATGGGGTAAAGTTGGAGATGACATAAGGGCATCTCCAACCTTTACCCCATTTTTGGTCCCCAAAATGAGGATTTTCCCATTTTGGGGACAACTTACTCCAACCATTCCCTCATTTTTTTCCCCAAACTTTTTTATATTCTTCTCTCTGTTCTATATTATATTATTATCTTTCATTTCAATTTTATTTTTTAATTTCCATTAAACAAATTCCATCTTTTATTTTTATTAATTTGTAATTTCCAAAATTAAAACAATTCCATAAAATTTTAAATAATATAATTTGTAAGCAATTATTATAGATTAACTAATAATTCAAATAAAAGTGAATCATTGCGATACAAGATTAATTAAATACATATTACATAACGATAAAATTTATTCGAAATACTAGATAAATATTCAACTTCAACCTCTAGTATTCTCTCATAAATAATCTATTAATGCATTACGAAGTGCAAAATGAGCATCTTTGTCCTTAATTCTTCTATGTCGAAATAAAAATTCTTGAAATCGTTGATTTTCATCTACTGCCATTTCTACATAAAAATAATAAATGCACGAAAATTAATTTATTAAAATTATACACCAAAGTTAAGATATAATATTAATATTATAAAGACATTACATAAACATAATTAGGTATATAAAGAGATAAATTAAAAGAATAAATAAAAAAAAATAATAAAAAAAATAATGAATAGTAATGGGGGATATGAATAGTGTACCACATATTTGAGGGAACACTATTCATCCCTTATTTTGGGGACAAAAATGGGGGAGGGTTGGAGCTAAATTTCCCCAAATATTTTCTTCATTATAGGGGATGGGGCAAGGTTGGAGATGGCCTAAGACTTCATCTTCTTTCCAAGCTAAAGAATTGATTCCTTTACTTCTTGTGACAACCCCTATCTGGCCTTGAACCCAGTGCACAACATTGAGTTCTATTAGAATGTAGTTAAAGCGCTAGCTATCAAATAAATAACTACGACTTTAGAATGCAAGTCAAGCTCACGATAAAATAATTTAAATCTGTTAATTTACCGTGTTATAAAATCTCCAAATATGACCAAGTAGCATCACTATTAGATGCTATGCTTCTTCTTTTTTACTTTTATTTTCCCCTGCAAATAACATTTTAGGAGTGCACTGAATCACACAAATACAATAGGCCAATTTGGAGCAAATACTGCGTATAGATAAAAACTAGGCTACCACAAAGACAGTCAAGTGACATGACCGCTCTTATATAAGTTTGTGCTCTTGAATGAACCTCTTTATTTAGTATTTGTTCCTCTAGCACCTCGCCCCGCGTATATAATGTAAATTATATCAATTTATCTCTTTCAGATTTGTTAGTTTGTTCAAATTTTTGTCACTCATTCAACTCTCTCTCTCATTCTTACAGAAAGAAGAATAATTGCGACAAGTTGATGACAATAATTTTCATTTTGCACCTTCTTGTTTGGTTTGTTTTCTAATGTTTGATTAATAGGTCTTTCCTGTTTAATACTTTCCCTTCATGATTTAATATAAGTAATAAACTATATGCTTTTTTGTTAACTCAATTAGCATATATTCGTGCTTATTTACGGATGATTTATATTTTATACTCCTATTACTTTATTATATAAATAAGGGTATATTACTATTTAACTTATTTGTTTAATTTCACTTTTTACTCTATGACTAAAATTTATTTATTTTTTTGTTATGCATAATTACTTGACGTGTTAATGGTTATTAGCGTCACGTTGAGTTTTCTCTCCATTGTTAAATTCGCGTGAAAAACGCAAAAAATATAATCTATCATTAAAAATAAGGTAGAATTGATGAGAAAATAACCAAGCTGTCCCTTATGTTTGCGAATAAATTTAAAGTAATCCTTTAAATATATTCTATACAGTTTTTGTTTTTAGGTCTCTATGGAATATTTAACAAACTTTGTTTGTTAGACTTGGCGATAATTATGAAAATAACTAGAAACATAAAAAAAGTTACGTCAAATTCTAAAAATTACTACACCAAAAATTGCACTAGACATAAAAAATAGCACCTCAAGAAACTACATCATGCACTAAAATTAGACAAAAATTGCACCTCAAAATGTGAGTTGCTATTAAATTCTTTTTATAGTTCCCAACTTCCCATTATATTTACTAGTCTTACAATACGCACGTTGCGCGTGTACCCTATCTAAATAAATAATATTTTTTAAATAATTATGCAAATATTTTATTAAAATTATGTTTGAGTTATCATAAATAAAAGTGTAAGTTTGTGAAATTGAGAAATATTAATTCTGCGTACCTAACTGAATAAAGGGAAGAAATTGCTATATAAAAATTATCAATCATCGTCATATTAAAAGTATAAGCCAATATACAAATACGGAAAATGTTTAAAAGAAATCAAGCGATCATCATTTATAAAAATAATATTTGTTCAAATATTTTGTTGTTGTTGTTGTTGATGATGTTGTTGTTGGTGGTGGTGGTGGTGGGGTTGTAATTCCTAGTTTTTTATTTCTTAAATCTTATATTTTCTATCATGAAGTTTTATCTCTAGATTACCCTTCAATAGTTTTTCAATTTTAGTGAACATGTTCATATGATAAATATAGAAAATTATTTAAATCTTATATTTTCTATCAAGAAGTTTTATCTCTAGATTACCCATCAATAATTTTTCAATTTTAGTGAACATGTTCATATGATAAATATGGAAAATTATTTTTTCATAAAATATATTTCTAAATATATCTAATTGAGTGGATAAAAGATTAAATTTTTGTATATATGTAAATTTATAGGCTTTCAATATTATTTATTTAGCCTCCTTTCTATCTCTTTATTTTAAAAAATGGGTCAAAATTGTAATCCATAGACGCGTTCTTTGTATCCACGCAAGATAATATATTATTTTTTCATTGATTTCCATTGACCTAACACATGATATTTAAATAACTTTATTTAACTTCAAAATATGTGTGGAAAAAAGGGACTCATGAATCGAAAAGGACTCAAATTTGGGCGAAGGTTATAATGTAATTCTCATGTGTTATTATCCTTCTTTTATAAATTTATTATATTACATAGTTCAAATAAGAAAAAGATTTATGATACAAAAGCTAGTTAATTTTGAATTCCTATATATTCGAAAAATAATGAATTGTTCTTTCCTAAATATTAGGAGATTAATTAAATGACTATTTTGTCTAGTGTGAATGTAATTTTTCAAAGGGCAAAAAAGGCGAACGACATTTCGATAAAGCTTTCGTGCTTTTAATATAGTATAGATAGATATAGATATAGACATAGATATAGATATAAATATAGATTAACAGTTAAAATTTTTGCGACAAAAAAGAATTGCTCACTTTGGCAAAACTTAAGGACCAAAACTTCCCAAGGGTATGTTTAAGGGACTATTTTAAACTTACCCCAAACATAAGGGACCATTTTTGTCATACTCTCGTGGAATTGATCAATCCAATATATTTTGCTCCCAAAATAAGGGGTATGTATGAGATAATAACACTTCTAAAGGGGTCACTGTGACATTCTCTTTAAACTTTGAGCTTTTTCTTGCAAGTCCAAATCTCCCGGGAATCTCTGCTTTATAAGCAGAGGTATTGTCAATTGTGGATTCTAGATACCGTCCCTAGTAAGTAATCTGGAAACCTAGGTTTGGCGATCGGCAGTTAGAGACCGATAGTGAGTTTCGTACTCTTTTTGTGTCCACAAGAAATTCTGCCGAAGAGGTCTTTGAATCCATTGTTTTCTCGTGGATTGCTGCAGTTTAGTTTCGTACAGGTATATAAACTTGTTTTCTGATATTCTATTTTGTTTTATCTTTTCTAGTTCTTTTACTACTAGTAGAGGCTTTGATTTCAGGTATCTGATACATCTATTTATGACTTAGGAGACTGAGTTTAATAAATTAATCAATTGATTTAGGAAATTTTGGCGAAAACGAGAAAAAAAGACTTTCGAATGCATGACCACTTAAAGGTTAAGAAATTAATGCCATTGTTTTGAAGGTTATATTCAATTTTAATGGTACCTCTGACTATGTTTGTGTATTTAATTATTACCTTTTAGTCATGCATTTGTACTACCTACCTTTCTCTAGCTTTTATTTCTTATGTTGTATATAATAGAAGAATAAAGAGAAAAGGTTTTAGCTTTCAAGTTTCTGAAGAGTGATAGAGCATATACTTAGGGACACTACAAGAGTGATAGAGAACCCGTTCGGATTTATGCTTGGT